GTGCGAAACGGCTGAATCCCACCACTGCATGCATCTTGAATATAGCCCTGCAGTGTAATTTCCATTTCAAAAGGTTCCATCATAAGACAGTTGTGTCACAAGCAAACCCCTTCTCCATGCTGCTTTCCATAATATGTCTAGTGTAGGAGAATGACAGTTTTCCAGAGCCCATTTCAACAGCTCATTTGCACACAAACCTAAAGGCATTGTATCTTATGACTTGATCAGTATGGCTTTGTATGGAACAGTATGAATACCCATTCAGTTCTCCAACTGTCTGAGCTATGCAGTGATTGAACAGATATATAGTGGAATCAACTTGTGTACTCATGATCGTGTTATTTTTCCAGACAGAGCTCCTTCTTGATTGTGTTGCATACTGTTTGCCTGAGTCATGAGAACAGCTTTTACCACTGAACTGTATGTTTATTGATTCTCGACAGTTACAAGATGCCTCACATTATTTATCATGGCTGGAATGCAACTTGTTTCTTTTTGGATGTTCCTGGTGACCCAAGTTAATTGATATTCCTTTGTTTTCCAATGCCATTAAGTACAAAGAACATCCTCATCATGGAAATTCTGAATTTTTGAGCTGAACACATTTTTATGATCTGAATGTATGAATATTTTGTGTCAGAAAGGGGTGTTACATGCCATTCCCAAAAGTGATCAGTTTTCAGTGGCTTCACACTATCCATGAAATGGCAAAAATGTGAAAATTTAGTTTAGATACATGTTTTCGTATTAGATGTGAATGTCATCCGATTTGCTTATTTACATATTCAAAATCATCTTTATTTAACATACTCATCTTTCTATGGTAAATATCAATTTACAATTTATTACAAAAATCTTAAGATTTGTAATAAACATATCACCCTTCAGGTAACTCAATTCAGGTTTTTGTAAGTAGAATTTATAACTGATATTAAAGTATGTTTCAATGTGTGTAGCCATTTATATTAGTGTAATATATATTACATTTATTTTATGTTTATCCTCTGAAAATTTCAAGTAGGATTCTTTTTTATATTGTATGATAAAACTAGAAGTTACTTTTATTAGAAGTTAACCACAAACATTATTTAGCTTATATTAAGCATGAGCTCAGTAATTCTTTTAGAGATTATCTTCTATGTAAAATTTTGACATTTAAAGTTATCAAATGGACTGACACTCTTACCATTATAATAAAGTGTCTAAGGTGGCTTGTCCGTGAACAGTAAGTTTTTTAAGCGATTTTATGAGGTACATTTTGTGTTCTTGTTTTTCATTTTAGTTTATTTTAAAAGATCTTTCTTGTTTACCATTGTTATTTCTAGCAAGGTTGGATTCATACATTTTATCAACTTTAATGATATTTTAATATGTTATACAAGGGCCCATTTCAGACTTTTGGAAGGAACTTTGCATAAATTTCGATATGATAGCCTGACATGACGTGTTTATATTCTTCTTTCTTCGTAATTCCTAAGATAGCAGCCACTAACTCTTGCCAATATGTATTTTAACCAGCATATATTTTCTGTGTTAATTATTTGTTAAATAGTTACAGAAAATGTTATATATTTATCACAACATGCATCACTTCATTTGGTTATACATGGAAGAATTTGCATTATTATATTTCATTGTCATACTGTATGACTCAATGGGCAGGAAAAATATAAGTGCATTTTTCTGGCTGTTTATAAGGAGTTAAGGAAAGGCAAGGAAAGTCATACATCCCACTGGAATCATTCATTATAAAATAATAATATGAAAGAGCTATTTATTTTCTAAACCAACTTAAATATCCTTTCATGTCTGTATTCAAGTAATTATCAAACTAACTTTCTAAAACTCAAACTTTTTATAAATAGAACCAATAATTCTTATTTTTGGTTTCTATCATTACTTGATATGCATTGAAAAAAAAAAACAACAGTTGCATTTAAACTGCCCATCACCCAAATTAATCTAAAGTTTTGTACTTTTCTCATCTCAACCACATGGTAATGCAATATCAGTTCTGATTAACCAACTACATGCTGCTTATGTGGCATTGGATGTGTTCTTATGACAGTAAGACATAAGTACCCTAAATCAGATGCAACAAGGAGCAAAACATTCCACTATCCTTGCCCCTGAGCAACAGCCCCATATTAAGTAGCAAAGTAATGTTGTCTCATAGAAGTTTAATAGAATATATACCTTCAAAATTTCAGATCAAGTGTTCCATGGAGTTTGCCACAAGTTGATGGCTCCATATGCACAACGATCCTATCAAGTATTAATTCCATGCACCACAGATGACCATTCAAATTCACATCTGCTTACTTATACCTGTTATGTTAAAGCACTGCTTTGGAGTATATTAATATTAGCACAAAGTGTTTAACATTACTTTTCACGGTTATTTATGACAAATAACATTTTCGTTCCATTTCATTTTTTTATCGTGCTTTATTCGGATAATTTTAGGCCCTTAATGACACCTATCCTTCAAAATGTTAATATATTAGCTTAATTGTTTATGTTTTACTTATTGAGTGTCTCATAACTGCACGTCCTTAGTGGATTGTACACGTTAGGTGAGGGACGATTTTGCCAAATGAAAAACAGAATACCTACTGAGTAATTATGTATATTAAACGATAGTGCTTAACATCGGAAGGTAAAGAATTAGAAACTTTTAACTAAAATTTTTACAAAAAAACAAAACGTTTCCAGTTTTTCTGTGAACATTTATAACCGGATTTTAAATTTTGTCAGGACCATAACAACGCAGTCAACCCCAACAATGGCTCCATCTACCGGTAGCCACCAGACACCTGTGAGTCCTTCCAGTCAGGAAATACTTGATCAGTTCATGAATGAAGGTGATTCTTCTCACTAGTTCACCTGCTTGCCAAGGATGATCAATGAATTTATAATATCATTCATAAATGTCACAATTACTTACAGCAGTATGTCACAGCGTAGCTGAATTTTGTCATTCTCAGTCCTTTGTGTTCAGTTGTCTTGTATCAGGTTATGTCATTATCAGTCACTTTTTAAGTTATTGCCATGAAAATTTGAATTATAGCGACTTTTCAGTGCCATAGATTTGTTTGCATGTTTTTGGTTTGAGAACATGTTTGAAAGTGAGAATGATTTTTAGACACGAACCTTTATCTTATTCTAATGTTGCTGTATGGGAGGTTACATAAACAACAACTTCCACGTGGTCAAGAGATAAATATGAACAAATTCATAACTTTTTATTGATTCCAAGTTTTATATCTTGGAAGAAAAACTAATGGAAATTGTAAAGCTTAAGACAGGTATGTTGCCAGGATGCATTATCCCTTCCCTCCATACCATAATGATGTACAAAACTTTCACGTGGTAATGATGAAGAATATAAAACTCTCACAGCCTGACCTCTACGCTGTGTAACAGTTATTTTTGTTTCATAAAAAATCACACTAATCTTAATGGAAAAAAAAAAAGACTTCGTTTTACATAACTTTACCTGCTTGTGGAAAGTTTAAGATTGCTGTCCTAATCTTTCATACTGTCTTCATCAGCACCATATTCTCTGTTTTCCTGTACAAATATTACTTGTAGTTTTCTTATTGACTAGTGTAGGAAATCTGGTCAAAATACCAAAGATTTTACAGTAGAAAACTTTATGCTTTACGAATCAACCTCACCTAGACTCTAAACAATCATGCTGATTTAAACCAAGTATTTTACAATTATCTTGATCTTTGGATACTTCTGGCATTATAAATTTTAAGACTTTGCAAAATATAGGACTTATATCAAAATCTGTGATGTTCGGTTAGATTGTACTATATATATATATATTTTTTTTGTTTTTGTTTTTTTGGTGAGGTTATTTTTGGGGAAAAATTTAAAGCATCCCTGTGATTAGACATAGGCCCATGTAAATGTAGAATCTTTCCTGTTAATATTTGGCTTCTGCTGTTTGAATGCAGATTTCGAAACAATAAAAGTTGTTTTTCTGTCCAGAGGCTCATTTTCTTTTCATCTAATTTTTCATTGAAATTAATTTATATCCGCTAGATGTCAGCTGATATCACTATGATCTATTTATTGCACAGGACATAAAACATATTTTGTGAATTTACATTTAAATAGATAAGCTGAAAAAAAGGGGGGGGGAGAGAAATGCCACGTAGATTAAACGAAAGCACTTTTAAGTTGAGCTAACTTTCTACTGTTATTGTTAGACCATAAGAAAGTGTGCTCTCAGATCCGTTCTTAAATTGTCACACGCCGGTAAAACTCGAGCTAGATTTAACCAAAATCTACCTAGTTCATTCTAAATTAGGTACGGCTAACGCAGATATCTCTCGAATAGCTTTGCGCAAAATTCAACAAAGAAACAAAAACAGCTCTTTCTTTTCGCAAATTACAAGCTGATATATACCCTCTTTTACATTTCGGCACAGAGGAAAATGTCTTTTCTTTTACTATGCCCAAACATCTACAAGACTTTTCAACCTATTGGTGAAAAAGATCGTAGTGACTCCACAGGAAACCTAAAGTTTGATAAAATTGTTTTAATTTCTAGATTTTAATCTTGAACCTTTAACATTTTAAAGGATTCAATAATCATAATAAAACAACTGAGGGGGGGGGGGGAGAATTTGTTTACCTCATATATGTTTAATAGATGGCGCCACAATCACTAGTTGTGTTTATTCTTTTAGACGTGCTCGTTTAATAAGAGTCGGCACGTTACAGTTATAATAACATCAAACAATTTAAAAGTATTGTTCAAAACGCTTAAACTTCTTTTGATGTGTAGATTGTTGTATTGTTTATAAGTATATGTTTCAAACAAGTTGGAAATGTTATTATGCTGTTAAACCATCAAAATTATGATGCTTGATATTACCAAAATAAGCGTACCCGGTGAGTCAGCAATAAGTTTACGGAATTACAACGCTAGAATCCGAGGCTCGATTTCCCACGGTGGTGAAAGGATACTCAACCAAATGCATAGCTTTGCGCTAAAACAAACTACAGCAAAATTTATGAAATATTCTGTATTGAGCTCGATCTAACTATTAAATATTTTGATATTCATTGTCATATTTCGAAGTGTACTTCAAATGTCTGACGAATATTTATTTATATACTTTTTGTTGTTGTTCTTGCTATTAAAATCTCAAAGTTTTATGCTGAGGCATGCACTGCAATATTTCTTCTAGTAAACACTGAATTTAGTAACTAGAAAAATATTTGTTTTATTTTTATATTAACATAACTAGATTAATAAGTTGAAAATGTTTTTCTTTAAAAGCTTTTCAAAGAAATAAGTAGTTTTTGAGCTAGTCTAAAAAGGTTACTTGTACGATCCTTTGAAAATTTCTCCTCCGGTGGGTCAGCGATACGTTTACGTATTTACAACAATAAAATCCGAGGTTTGATTCCCCGCGTTGGACAGAACGCATATAGACAGTATAGAGCTTTGCGTTAAAACAAACAAATTCTGAAATTTTTCTTTTAGTAAAATCAAGCATCGTAATACTGCTGATATAAAAGTTAATTATACTGTACATCGTAATAACAAATACTAGTCAAAAATATTTTTCGTTCTTATACAATCTTATGAAAAACAATAAAAACGACCCCCCCCCCCCGGTAGTTCAGATGTTAGTTAGTGGGTTTATGACGCTAAAACTTGAGTTTCGATATCCACGGTGAGCAGTGCTGAGATAGCCTATCGTGTAGCTTTATGTTTTACAACAAACACATAACGATGTGTTTTGAAATAAATGAAGTATTACAATTATTTTGAGTGTTCACATTTTTGTGTGTATATTTCGTACCACGATTGATATTGAAGTTTCAATGTGAGCGAAGTTGAGTCTGGCCAAAGAAAGAGTGTAAGTTTTTAGAAGTTACTCTGTTTTACTAATTTTTGATACTCATTTCTGGAAGAAGCAACATATTACATATTCAGCTACACTTTTGCTTTATAATGAACATGAGATTGGCAGATACTGTATTTACAGAAGCCTAAAATGTGCGTTGGTAAATTTATTCGCTATCATGTTTTTAGCATGAAAAGATATAAAATAACTAAATAATTCGTATAAGGCATTGGACTAGAGCAAACGTGAAAGAATCAGGACTATTTAGGCTTGAAAATGTTTTTAGAGAGCCACCCTTTTGGTCGTTCTTGGTTCCCTGAATTCGATATAGGATGTGGGCTAAGAGGATTTACGTTAGAGGAATGTCCTTTGGAAGCATCCACCTGCAGAGCTTCAGAGGGTAAAATACCAGCTTGGGTTTCCAAGGTTACCGTTAAACTTTGCCGACACAAAGCACTAATAGCAGACTGGTCTTTTTTCTTCTTTGGCTTGCGTATTTTTGTATTGGCTGTACTTTTTGGAATAGAAGCTGCATCCTCCAGACTGGCTGAAGAATCAGTGGCAGCAATAGTGCAGACACTTCTTCTTTTATCAGAAGCTTGACCGGAATCTTCTGTTGTCTCTTGATTGCTCGTTTTTGATTCTTGACATTTTTCTTCTGATTTAAATAATATTTCACTCATAGAATCAATCGACTTCATTGAGCTTACAGAGTGACTGTCATCTCCAGTACAGGGCATGGACTCCCATCTATTGGACCTATTACCATTTTCATCTTTCCTACTTTCCTCTCCTTGATCAAGTGATGGCGACACATCTTTATCTTTAGATTTTCCGTGCATCATATCGGCTTTTAAAGACATGACACTAGTTTGGGTTATAAAATCTTCTTTGGCCTTCAGTAGAGCTGCTGCTCTTGCTCGAGATGCAGGACTCAAAGACGGAATAAATTGTACCGTTTCGCTTATAGTACGATTATATTCGGGGTCTAAGCTAAAATGTTTTATTTCATTAAGCTGTTTTGGTTGGGTAACTTCAGACATCTGAGGCCAGCAATGCATTTCACCATCGCCACGGGGTGATGGAGGTTGGACAACATGTTGACTGTCTTTGACCTTACGGTTGTACTTTTCAATTAAGTTTTTGACACTTGGAGAACCCTCTTGGGAAACGTGGGTCAAAACAGTTCTACTCTTGGAGTCTGAAAGATATCCTTCTGGTTCATTCGTAGGTTTTTCACGAGATGTTTCTTTCTTTAGTTTCCGGGGACTTCTTGATCGTATTACTGGGCTTTCACCTCGAAGAAAAGGAGCAGCTCGAAGTATCATTTCTTCTTCATCCGGATCTGACTGAGATTCTTTTGATTTCCCAAGTTCTGGAACAAGACCTTCTGTTGTTTCCTCGGAAACATCATTATTCACCATCTTTTGCGAAGTTGACATACCATCTACGTTTGTATTAGTTTTACCGGAAAGATCAGTTGGCTTTGTAATACCTGTTGTAATATTACAAGTAGAATTGTCATGATCTGTGTTTAAGCTTGGAAAAAAAATGTCTAAATTTTTTATTTCGTCGCTAAATTGTTCTTTTTGTAGTGATTCCTTTCTTGTTCCTGGTGTTTTTTGATAATGATCAAGTTTCAAATCTACAGCTCTTGTTGAAGACAGGACGTTGGAGCCAACGTCTCTGTCTTTGAGTGGCGTAATAAAATCTTTGGGTTTTGAATATTCAATTTTTTTACACGTTTCATCAAGAGATTTGTTGCTTGGTCCAGATATGTGGGGATTATTTTCTATAAAGGAATTGTCAGAGTACAGAGTAGGCGAGTTTGACCTCCATTGTTTTTCTGGGACTTTTAAAGCGAGAGTTAGCTGTTCGCCATCTTTATATTCCGGTGCGCTATATACATCCTGTCCTGAGAGAGACTGTTGACCGTCGGAATTCCGCCTCACCGACAGCTTTGGACTCATAACCTGAGTTGGAAATTCATGTGCGTGAGTGGAAGATGGAGACTCATAAGGCTCATTAACTTTGTCTTGTATGTCTGCAATGGGCTGATCACAAACCTAGAAAACAGAAATATAGTTTAGCTCTCTGTTTTAGGACTCTAATAAAATGAATTTGAACAAAGCAACGTAAAATAGTTATGTTCGTACAGAATAATTTCTTTAGAATCCCAATAAAAAACAATTTGATCAAGTTTTCTTCTTGTTCTCTGCATTTTTTATTCAAAGTGAGTTTTAACTGATCTATCAAGTATAACATGGTACTTGTGTCGTTCTTTTGCAAAAGTAAGTATTTTTATTCATGAAATTATACCATAACACATTCGCAATGATTTATATATAAGAAACATTATATATATATATAAATTTTATAAACTGTATTTCATGTCTTTTTAGAAGACAACCTATTAATGCCAACACTTCTAATTCTTTACAATTTAGGAATATTATACAGGCTTACAAGCTATTTTATCTTATCACGAATATTTAGAAATTTTATGGAGCTGGAGCATTTTGACTACCCTTTTGGAAGCGTTACTTGGAATATTTTTACATTTTGTCAACTTTCAAAGCTTAAAATCATACAGCACATCACAATTTATTACCGTTACCCAAATATTACCCTTTGTTTTCAAAAGAACAATGTATTATAATTACATTAAATTCAAGGCGATCATTAATCATATTTTAAATTAACCTTCCACCATTGATACTTAAAGATTTAAATACTTGGTGTGGTATTTTTTCACGCGCTCATTCATTTCGAGAGAACGTTAAATGTTTGTCCAGAGTATTCTTTATTTAAGCACTCAGGTTGTTTATTATTTTTAACCAAACAATTACATACACAATAGCTCATACAGAGTGCTCTTACTATGACCATCCATAAACTTCAGCTACATCATATAATCTAGTTTTTATAAAACTGGAATAGGAAACTGAGTTTTAGATAGCCTCAAAACACTATGCAAACGGGGTAAATTATAAGTGTGAGTGTCAAAATAAAATAAACTACATTAATTCATTTTCTCATTTGGAAACAAATATATCTTATGTTATCAAACCAACTGGATTTATGAAAGTTGTAGTCATGATATAAGGTGGGCTAGTATGTCTCTAATTTGGTAAATTTTGATATAATTCTTGGAACAAACCACAGAATGTTATTTGGCTTTTGATTCAGAAGCTAAACCCTTGACAATTATGACCCTTATTTAGATCCAATTTTATTCGTGAAAGTACTTATTACAGAGTATGTTTATGTTTCTCTCTTAACTCTGAGTTCGTGAAGAAAGGGTTGAAATGCGGTTGGTTCACAAACAATTTTTATTAACAAATAAACACAGTTAAGTTCACAAGACAAAACAAGGGCGAGTGTTTGTGATGGGTGTATTGAACTGATAAGAGAGGCTTGGAGAAATATTTAATATATTTCTCTTATCAGTTCACTGTGGTCTCCTTGTAAATTATTCTAAAACAAAAGTGAAAATGTAAAATATAAAGAATCCTAACAAGTTCAGCAAAATCCAAGTGCTTAAAACCACAAAATCTAGGTTAGCAAAAGTTAACTTTTAATAAAATGTAAATTTACCAAAGTTAAATGGTTCATAAAAGCTAAAAGTTACTCTTACAGATGCAAACCTGGCTTTATTTACAAGACACATTAACATCTACAAAGCCAGGTTTCCACACGACACCATCTTACACACATGACCATTGTTCACTATGATCTATGTGTAAGGAAGTGTTAGCCACAGGCCATTATCCAATTTATCGATAGAAAAGACAATTATATATCTCAAAATTTCATGAACTATCTTTCCTGCAAGAAAATATGGCTAACTGTCAATTAGAGAACTATGTCCCAAACAGAACTAGAACCAGAAAAAAATTAGATGTTTACTTGTCAAACTGAACTGAAAGAAAATAGAGATTTTGAAATATTTACATATTAAATTAGGGGTGGGGAACTAATGCAGGGCACAAATGCAATATTTTCTACCAAGGGAATATGGAACGCTTGTGCAATTACTTTGACCTGTAGTTTATCATCATCTAATGTGCTAGTGAACGTTAATAGCATTTAACAAGAACAAAAGTGCTTTAAGGTATTTTAAAAATTATTTAACAATAGTTTGAGTTTAGTTTAGAGGATGGAACAGCCGAGATGGACCAATAGGTCCCACGTTGTCCCAAAACGTTATGTTATGTCCCTTGCTGTCTTTGAAACTATTTCCTCTGCATCCCAAGCTTTTGCAAAATATAAAATTATGAGGCTGATTTTAGTCCACATCTTTGCATATTTTCTACAGACCATCCACTGCATCTAAACATTGGCTTTGAAGAATGTGTTTATCAGATCAAAGCCACAAAGGACCAGTGTACTTGAAATGTATTTGGTGGAAGGAGATCGACGTGATTTAAATTTCTGTGATTTTTCTTTTTCACAAAAACAGTCATTCACTTTCAGGTGTCGCTGAAAGCTTGTGAACCTTCTTTGGCTCCCTCCTCTTGTTTATTACCTTGTGAAAAGTACCAGGAAATATACTCAGTTTCACTGCAATGGGCTTGTAGGATAGAGAATCCTCTTTTATATCCAAAACTTTCACTTTGTGGATAAGGGCATTGGGATGTGATTTTAGAGCCCAGTACAATTTTGAATCCTCTACTATGTGAACTCTTCAAGTCCCTTGGAGAACATTAAGGGCTGTCTTTAAAATGTTGTGTTCTTTGGTTCTACGTTGTTCAACAATCTCACTATATCCATATCCTATCCAAATTGATTTGACACAGTCCTACAGCCAACAAGTCTATTCTTGGTGGTATTGCACTGTTGAAATGTTTGGAATTCACCATAAACCATGGTGCTAAACATGTTTGTGGAATAACATATGCAGGTATTTTTTTATTGAAGGGTAATTAATCCTTTGTTTGAGTTACATATCTAAATAAGTCCAATAAGCATTATATGCATATATATATATATATTAATGGAATTCTACCAACCCATATAACAGGCAATAGTAATTCATTGAAAGGTTCTTCATGTATTTGGCACAGTTGAAAAGAAACATTTACTCGCCAAATCATAAAGTGACATAAATGTTGCAACATGGAACAGTAATGAGACAGCATCTTTATGCTCTTGAAAATACGATGGATGCAATTTAAGAAAAATATACTGAAATATTTAGGAATCTGAATTCGAATGTATATTTAGTGTCAACGTGTTCAAAACTTTAAGTAAGATTAAAATTACTGATGACAGCTCTAAAAGTTTTGTGCATTTAAGTTTATATTCAACCTCAAAAGTTTTAAAATTATAATAAATTTAAAATTGCTCCAAAAACATTTTTATTCAACTAAAAAAGGGTGATACCAGATGTATGGAGCTTTGATGATGATGATGATATATCAAAGCATGAACTTTTATTACCATACTTCTAACTGAATTTTTCTTACAGGAGCTAGTAATGGCAATGTGTGGCATGCAGGCTTAGCGTGCATTTACTACCTTCTTGTTTTACTACAGATTTTTTCAAAATTTGATAGTTATTTTTGATATTCGCAGTTTTCACATAACTTGCTCAGGAAAGCTGCTAGGTTGCTTTCGTTCTAGCTACCTTTGTTTCTTTGTCAATTCTTTGAGATAACACCTCGTCTGCCTATGGGAGGTGTGGCTGTCAGCAGCGATGTCCTCCAATGGTAGGTCAGGTGATGTCATGATCAGTCACATGGACAGTGCTTGTCATTTTGGGTAAGTCTAATGTTATTGCTTCACTGAGTAATGTAAGGTTTAGTCAATTTGTAGAGAAAATAGCTTATGATCCAGTGAAAGTGAACATTCATCGTCCATAAGCAAGAACACTTGCTGTGTTTGTTCATACTAAATATTGTTCATTGTATATTTGTACAATTGTGCCCAGTTTCTTCATTTCCTTCTCACGAATTCAGCTACTCAGATAATTCAGAATTACTTCATGATAAATATCTTGTTAGATTTACTGTTAATCTGCAGACATATCTTGTCAGAACTCCTGTTAATTTGCGAACATATATTGTGGGATCTCCTACTAACCTACCAACATCTTTTGCCGGATCTCCCGTTAATCTGTGAACATAGCTTGTCGCTCTAGAGAGTCTCCCAGTGGGTATGTGGTAGGATTACGGACTTATTACACTGAACTTCGAGGTTCGATTCCCTGTGGTGGACAAAGAACAAGTAGCTCAATACGTAGCTTTGCGCTGAAACAAAAACACGCATAAACGCAGCTCTGAAGAAATCACTTCGACTTGAAAAAGACCACAAATGTGCAATACATAAGGAAAAGTCTAATAAGTTTCATGTCAGCTAGGTGCGTATACATTTCTTCTTACATTACGTGTGTATTAATATGTATAAATTTGCTATTACTTTATGGAGCTTCTAAGCTTTGACGATATATATTTTATTTTACATAAGTAAATTCTCTCATCCTACTACTCTGTTTGAAAATAAAAAGAGACAATTCTAGAAAACTACTACTTATAGTTCAGTAAGCGCCAGCGTGTCTTGTTAAGATGCTTTTCTACATCCTTCGTGTTATTTACAACCTATAGCGGCTGTCACAGCCGTTTCAACAGCTGCTGTCTGAATTCTTCTATAGCTTTATGATACAGATGTTTTTCTTTGCTGAAAAAATTAAGAACGAAAAGCCGTTTCTGCATATGAAAACAATATATATACATTTACCTCTATAACTCTTTAAGTAATATGGGTTTGCTTAAGGTTCATGATAATGAACACAAATTAAGATATAGATCAGGTCTTATATTAAGTTCGTTTCGCCGAAGGCTTAAGATGCACACAAGATACTTAAGTGTAAATGATTCGTTGTGGACTCCCTCTTTTTTTTTTAATTGCCTCAAAAGCTGTTTTAAGTTACTGGTTTAGGATTAATGAGCTATATTAACATACCATTTCAAGCATAGTAATATAATGAGACAAAGAGAACAAACAAAACTGAAACCATTAGAATATTTGAAATGAGATGAACCTTAATTGTTATGTACGGAGATGTTTCAACTTAGAAATGCCGTTAACATTTTTGACCATCAGAACCTTTCAAGCTAGAAACATTTGTTACAAATCAGTTTATTTGAACGTCCCGTTTATTTTATATTTTTACCTGATATATTTTTTGTGGCTGTTCTGGTGAACTGGAGCCATTACTACTGCACACAGAAACGTCTGAAATAAAATCAAAGACATATTTAGTGATACAAAAATATATAATGAAATGTTTATTTTTACACCAAAGGTAGAACTAATCCTTAATAATCCGGCTTTAGAGAGTCTCCAGTATTTGGTTCCATAAGAACACACAGCGGTATGTCTGCGAATTACAACGCTAGAAACCGGGTTTCGATACCTGTGGTGGGCAGAGTACAGATAGCCCATTGTGTAGCTTTGTTCTTAACTTCAAACAAACCATAAGAACAACGCTCAGATTAAATGCGTTCAGTCTGATCTTTCGCTTTGAAAAATACGGCTTTTCTAAGTAGTTATACGGGTATGAAAAACGTATGGCTAGTTGCAAATTCACCAGGTGTGTTTGTGAATGGGTAGCCACTTATTATCATATTAACGTGTTTAAATACTTATATAGCCATGATTTCTAAATGATGAAAACTCACCATCTGATTCTTAATTTTTCTTGGGGCAACCATTGACCTTAGTTGATTTTTTATCTATGTAGTTTTCTAATAATTTTGTTATTCAACAGTATAGGACGTACAGTTTGTTTGTTGTTAAGCCCAAAACTGTATACTGGGCTTTCCGAGCTGTGCCCACCACGGGTAGTGGAACAAGGTGTTTAGCGTTATAAATCTTCAGTCTTGCCGCTGAGTCACTAAGATGGGGGAGCAGGACGTACATGATAATTTTAACACATTGTACGATGAAGCTTTATAATCAAATCCTAAAGTATACATACATGTGAGTTATAGTTTCATGTGGGTGGATTTCGAAATCTGTAGACCTACATGTGTGTTATATTTTACGTTACGGGTCTAATTACATTGCTGTACATCCAAATTATCTTCATTGCATAATATAATATTCATAAGCTCTTTGCTAAGGACACTTACTGAGTTTTCTTCAATAAGCCTCACTATCTAGGATCACACTACATTTTTACATGGTTACAGCATGAATCGTGCTTCAAAGCAACTACTAAAATAAACTGTCTTCTCATAACATACAATCGTCGGTTGCCAATAAGCAGACATATTTCTTGTAATGATACGTGCACAATTCTGCCTGTAAGCAAACAGAATAATTCTATAGGTTTTCTTTCAGTGATACACGCGCGACATGCCTTTAAACAAAACGAACAACACAGTATTTTTTTAATAACGCAAGTATAATCTGCCCCTAAGCAAACTCTAAGCAATCCTACACTTTTTTATCTTACACGTGTATCTATAACAGTAGATATGAAAAGAAAAAGAAAAAAACGAGTGTGTGTAACACTATTTTATACAACCATATAAGCAAACATATAAGAAATACGAAAAGTTTGGTCAATTTAATTGGTATTTGCAGAAATGTTGTGTTCGCATTCATATAAAGTTTATAGATAGCATTTTATGCAATGAAGATAATTTTGGATGTAATGCACTATAATTAGGTGTATAACGTAAAGCATAAAATAGATTCCGAAATCCACCGAAATAAAACTGTAGTTCATATTTGTGTATACTTTAGTATTTGATTATTAAGCTTCATCATACAATGAGAAAAAAGTTTTCGTCTGTACGTCCTCATTCCCCCCCCCCCTTTCCATTGGCTCAGCGGCAAGTCCGAAGGCTTATAACACTAAATAGCTCATTGTGTAGCTTTGTGTTTAACGAAAAGCCAATAAAAAGTAACATTCCATATAGTGTTAAAAATAACTCTAGCCTTATAACTATAGAAAATGGATTATCACTGATGTCAATAGATTAAATGAAAGAGCTCTAGGTGCACTCAGTGAAACATTTTTAATATAACCAGATGTAGACTTAGTGATAAAATCGGTCACGGTTTTATAAATAATTTTTTCAGAAGATTTAAGGTTCTTTCTCTGAAATTTGTTGTAATGGGTCATCAATGTGTGATAATAAGCTTATAATATATCATAGATGTAAACACCAAGCTAAAACAGGTACTTCATATGTAGTTTATTCAATGGCATTGATCTGATTTTGACCTGTTAAAATGTGTTAGCCATTCAGCTTGGATAATTTGTTATTAACGATGCTGAAAATTAAAGTAACAGAAGTATTACTTTTAGGTTCCAGAAGTGTTCATCTAGTAATTACAGTCATCTTTAAGATTTAGCGAAAAGTGTTGGACACAGGAAACTTATTAATTTATAAACACTGTTAACAGATTTTTTCCTAAGTTATAATAATAACAATACAATTATTTGAATAATTGTTAAAAACAAAGATACAGTCTGGATGATTACTGAAGATTGTTTAATGCTTTATTTATTATTTATATATTCATTTTTGGCTTTCACTCAATCCCTTTAGAAGCTTTTATTTGATAATAATGAAAATAATATATTATTCTGTCTCTGAATTCTCCCTATCGACAAAGTAAATTTCAGATTTCAATATAATTCATCTGCCACACGAAGTGAGACATAACCACTTCACGTTAAAATAGTTTTTGATGGTGATTTCAAAATATAAAGATCTAAGAAAAATCTTTC